CGTAGAGACTGCGAAGGAGTACCTAGATGCCCTGATTGCGCGCTATTCCACTCCCTCCTCCGCCTCTGTTGGCCGCCTCCTTCTGCCCTTGCTCTTCCCTGAACTTGCGTCCTTCCCCACTATCGCTAATCTGCGCGCACTTGAGTCTAGCTACCGCGCTGCTAGTACTGAGGCCCAGCTGACTGTACTGGCTCCCCCCCTTGGCGCTACTCTGTACTTCCGTGCAACGTGCCTTCCTGACCACCCCGCCACTGTTAGAAATAGATTGCAAATCCCACTTTTGTATTTGTACTTTTATATCCTAGGAATGTTCTTTTAGGTTGGGGTGTACTCACAAATCCCAACCTCACCCAATTGTGATCCCCCCAATCTCCAATTACCCAATTGGAGATTCTGGAGATCCCAATGGGGAATCCCCCCGATTCCCCCTTTATCCATTTTCTCTCATCTTGCCATATACTTATAGAGCCTTGGGCTCCTTACCTTATCAATAATTTCAGCTCCATTTCTTACATGGTATTAGAGCGACCTATCCGCACACGGGGATCAAGGTCCTAGTCTTAACGTGCCCGCGCTACGCGCACTTTATCGTCGCGACATTCGTCTCGAGTCGTCGAAATTTTCGACGTGCTCCACCCTGTAGTCGCACCTCTCATCGTCGACCGCCTTTGCGCTCGACCTCGTTGAATTTCTCAACTCGAAAGCTTTCACGCTTCCCATTATCGATTTCCTCTTCGGTTCTCCTTGGTCGAATCTCAATTTCGACCATCTCTTAAAACTCGTTTTCGAGTTTCCCCTCGGACCCCGCCAGAATAGGCGAACTGCCCTCGCGGAATCTCCTCCACGAACGTTTCACGTCAAGTAAGTGCAGGTACACAGATGGAAGCGGAGCGGAGCTGGTTGCGGAGCTGGTTGCGGAGCTGTGTAGCTGCGGGACAGGGCCTGGGGGTGTGTGGGGGGGTGTGTGGTTCCGGGGTTAGACATAGTCTCAGATTCAGTTTCAAGTCGGTGTTTTAACGAATTTCCACCGATGCCATTTCCTTCTCAGCGGCATTTCGACGAAGCCGCCGGAGTGATTTTCAACAATTCTTGTTGACCGATTTCCAGAATTTCCGCGCTGCGCACCGAAGCTCCTATCGGTGACTTAAGAGCGTCGCTTCACAAAAAATCAAGCGGCAATGGCTTACTCAACCACTTCACTCGCCAACCCGACCTCGCTCCTTCGTCTCGAGCCGGACGGTACATGCTCCAACTACAAGGCTTGGCGCTATGGTGTCGACAAGCACCTCCTCAGTCGCGAGGTGAAGGGGCTCGAGCTCACCAGCATCCTTCTCAACATCGGTGATGGCAAAGAGCCTCCTAGACTCGAGAGGTCCGTCGATCTAGCTAATGCCGCCGCGGAAGCAGTTTATGCTGCTGCACTGCTCAAGTACAAGAATTGGGAGAAGGCCGATGGCGCGGTCATTTGTGCCTTCATGGTCACCACTCCTCCCGAACTCGTCGAAACCTACCACAACTACCCGTTTGCCAACACCATTTGGCTCTACCTCGAAGACCGCTTCAAGACCGCTTCCTGAGCAAGACTGCAGTGAGAGTTGCTAAACTCATCCCCAGCATGTTCCAAGTGCGGCTTGAGGACTCGGACTATGTCACCAAGGTGCAGTCCATTCATGGTGAACTCAAGCAGTTGGGGATAGTCTTCCCCGAGCAAGCCCCCACAGCCGCTCTCCTAGTCGGCCTCACTCCGGCATACGAAGTCACACGCAAGATGCTCTTGGGCCTTGCTCCTGCGGACCTCACATTTGCCAAGGTCTCATCCGCGCTCCTTTCTGCCGAAAAGGACAACAGCGCTCAAGCCAAGGCCAATGCAATCCGCGCTCCTATGCCTCAGGCATAGGCCACTTTGGCACCATTCCAGCGCAACCACTTCCCTCCGTGTCCCTACGTCATCAAGCACGGCCCTCGTGCCGACCAGGTGTGTGGCGACACCAACCATGCCCTCGCCTCCTGCTTCAAGAAGAAGGATGACGAGTGGTATGCCGTCAATGGGACCGCGTCGAAGCCACCAAACTAGATGGTCAATCGTGCTCCTCGCAAGGTCAATCAAGTCGAAGCGCAGGAATCCGTGCAGGCTGCTGTAGCTCCCCTTGCTGACGTGCGCCTCAATATGTTGTTCCCTGGCACTGCTATGATTATTGAGACAATTTTGCAGTGTCCTAGCTCATAAAGCACCTCAGCCACAATAGAGTTCACCCTCGACAGTGGGGCCACTCACACAGTTCTCAAGGAAGAACACTCCTTCAAGCCATACAAGACACCAATCCCTCTACTAGGAGCAGACTCCAGTTTCACAACACACGCCAAGGGCTCCTCCACAGTCCCGTGCCCAGCTTTTCCTTCGGGCAGTATCACCGGCATGTGTGTTCCCACACTACGCCACAATCTCGTGGCCCAACATGAGCTCCAACGGGCGGGCGTCACCACGATCTTCCCAACACACTCGGATCACTGTGACCACCTCGATCCTAAGTCCAACAAGCTCCTAGCATGCTTCACACTCAACAGCAGCAAGCTCTACACGTTGCGTTCACCTGCACCTCTCGCCGCCCTCTCCCAAGCGCAAGCTACCAACACCACTCCGTGTTCCTGTCGCAGCTTCGCCAACCCAACCATCCTCTACCACCATCGCTTGGGTCACCCCAACTTCCGTATGCTTGGCGACATCGCTTCCAAAAAACTTCTTCTTGGCCTCCCGTCGGCGCTTCCTCCACCAACAGACTCACCTGCACCCACCTGCCTGGACTGCACCAAGAGCAAGCTCAGGCAGCAGCCGCACCCTTCCTCCCCATTCGTCGTAGCTGCTCCGCTGGACCTAGTGCACATGGATGTCCGGGGCCTAGCTCCAGGCACCTGAGCTCATCATGGCATGGGTGCGCCAGGCTCAAGTCACGTTCGACACTCCTCTAAAGTGCCTCCATTCTGATGGCGGGGGAGAATTTCGCAATGGAAAACTCGATAACTTCTACGCGGCCGATGTGAGGTTAGTTGACGACACCCCACTGGCGATTCGGGAGTTCGTGCCTCACGTGCGAGTCACCTGTGGCAAAAATTTCAGTTTCACGATGAAGATGCTGGTGACAATTTTGGACGGTTGCAATATTCTGCTGGGACGAGATTGGCTGCGCGAATGCAACCCGAGCATCTACTGGCGGACGGGCCTCATCGACCTCATCGACCAACTTCGCGGGGCCAGATTTTTCTCGAAGATTGACCTGCGTGGCAATTACCACCAACTTCGCGTGCACGAAGCTGACTGATACAAGACGGCGTTTCGAACTCGGTACGGGAGTTACAAGTACACGGTCATGCCCCTCGGTTGAACAAAAGCGCCTTCGACATTCCAGTTGACCATGAACGAGATTTTTCGGCCACTGCTGGATAAGTGCGTCATCGTGTACCTCGACAACATTCTCGTCTACAGCACAATCTGTGATCAGCATTTAAAGGATTTGGAAGCAGTTTTCTCTCTCCTGCAGCTGAACCGACTCATCACCAAGGGATCGAAGTGCGAGTTTTTGAAACACGAACAGGAGTTTTTGGGTCACCTGATTTCCATCGACGGTGTTAAGATCGACCTCAAGAAAATTGTGACAATCCAAGACCGGAAGCCGCCGGCTAGTCTACGCGAACTTCAGAGTTTTCAGAGGTTTACTAATTACGTCCGATGTTTCATTCCGAACACGGCGGGGGTAACTTCCCCTCTCATGGATCTCCTGAAGAAGGGCACATTTTTTTAGTGGGGGGGAAAGCAACAGACTGCGTTCAAAAAGCTCAAACTTTTCCTGACTACACCACCGGTTGTTCGGATTGCAGATCCTCATTGCTCATTCGAGCTCATCACCAACGCTAGCGATCTGGCCGTTGGCGCAGTCCTGTTACAAGACTTCGGCAAAGGCCTACAACCGATCGCCCACGAGTTACGGAAGCTGAACCCGGCCGAGCGAATTTTTCTTGTCCATGACAAGGAGTTACTCGCCATTGTTCACGCTTTCAAAGTCTGATGCAGCTATCTGACGGGCGCTGATGTAACAGTCCGAACATACCACAAGTTGCTATAGTTCAGCCGCGCCCAACCGACACTGAATCCCCAACAGATTCGCTTGCTCGACTACCTCGAGTCCAATTTCCACTACAGGGTCACCTACAAACGAGAGGTCAGCAACATCGCCGACTCACTGACTCGCCCCTCGGTCTACACTGCCGTAGTCCTAATTACCCAAGTTAATCTGCTGCTAACTGGCCTATTCACCCACGGATACAATACTGACCCACTCTTCACCACTACAGTCATCCCCAACTGACGATCAAGCAAGGGGCCTATTATCTAAAATCCGGTACTAGTCGGATTTGGGTTCCCACCTACCATACCCTACGGGAATTACTGATCCAGGAGGCACATGACTCGAATTTCTCGGGTCACTACGGCATCGACAAAACTGCAAAATTACTGAGAAGTAACTATTACTGGCCCTATCGACAGACGTGCAGCAGTACGTCACCTCCTGCGCCACGTGTCAACGCCTGAAGTCTTCCCAACTTCGATTTGCTGGATTGCTGCGGCCGCTCGAGCCACCCAGCTGACCCTGGCAACAAGTGACGATGAACTTCGTCACTGGCCTGCCAGCTGGTTCAAGCGGTAACGACGCGATCCTCGTCGTCGTTGACCGGTTGACCAAAATGGCCCATTTAGGCCCTCATTTATATCGACACTCTTGAATCACGACTCCTTTATTACACTATATGTTATTACTCTGATTAATTCATAACAGAGCCCATCAAAGGGACCGCAATTCCAAAGCAGAAACACTCAACATTCGTGGAAAAAGAAGGGCTAGAAATAGGTTTGGTCGGTCAAATTGGTTCTCCAACGTTTTTTGGATGCTAATTATTATGAACGTAAGGCTTTCTGGCTGTCATGCCAAATTTAGCGTATGGCTGTGTGTGAAGCTGGTGTGCGAAGTGTTTCAGTTATTTCTTCTTCTTCTTCTTCTTCTTCTTCTTCTTCTTCTTCTTCTTCTTCTTCTTCTTCTTCTTCTTCTTCTTCTTCTTCTTCTTCTTCTTCTACTTTTCATTTCTTGTGTTGAAAGGAGTTTAGAAGCTAGGTAGCCATGAAAGGGCGAGTGGTTTTAGCTAGGGAGAAAGGTTGCGAGATAAAAGAGAGATAGACTAGACAAGAGAGAGAGAGAGAGAGAGAGAGAGAGAGAGAGAGAGAGAGAGAGAGAGAGAGAGAGAGAGAGAGAGAGAGAGAGAGAGAGAGAGAGATACAAGTAAGAGCCAATAATTTATAGGACACCTAACACCTACCAAGCCTACAAAAATATATATGAATAATATATAAGTTTACACACCCCCTTAGGCTTGGTAGGCGCTAGCACACCACACACGCAACACCCCCAAGCCCTTGCACCCCCATGTCCTACAACAGGTGTGGCTTCTACCCCTCGTGCGAAGCGGCGACATCGGCGGCGGGTGGCAGCAAACGCGTCAGTGGCGGCTTCTACGACGACGACAGCGGCGGCGGCGGTGGCGGGTGGCGGCGGAGCCAGCTGGACCTGCAGCGACGGCGGCGGTTGCGACAACGGCGGCGGTGAATGCAAAGCTCGCAGCACCCGGCGGCGGGGCACGGCCCGGCGACGACCTGGAAGGAAGTCATCAGCTGCGGCTGGGATGAGGGGAGGTGCAGGGGAAGGGGCGTGCCTTCAACGAGGAGCCTAGCTGGCGCGCTGGCTATTGTGCGGGTGTGCTGGCTGGTGCCTAAGATAGGGCGCTGGCCGCAGCCATCCGTGCGCTGGTGCAACCATAGCCATCTATGCGCTGGCGCAGCCGCAGCCATCCGTGCGCGATGGCGCAGCCGCAGCCGTCCGTGCGCTGGCGCAGCCGCAGCTGTCCGTGCTCACTGGCGCAGCCGCAGTTGTCCATGCGCTGGCACAGCCGCAGCCGTCCGTGCGAGCTGGCCGCAGCCATCCGTGCGGTGGTCGCAGCCGTTCGTGCGCTGGCGCATCAAATCCGTCGTGGCAGCACGACGACGCCACGACAGCACGACGAGGCCGCCGCGGCAGCGTGACGAGTCCGCAACGGCAGCGCGTGGAGGTCGCCGCGGCAGCGCGGCAAGGCCGCCACAGCTGCTCGACAAGGTCACCGCGGCAGCGCGGCGAGGCCGACACGGCAGCACATGGAGGTCGCCACGGTGGTGCAAAGGTGAAAGGAGAGGAGATACACGGTGGAAGCGCGAGAAGGGGTAGGCTCTACAGGATCTTCCTGCTTTGATACCATGTTGAAAGGAGTTAAGAAGCTAGGTAGCCATGAGAGGGCGAGAGGTTTTAGCTAGGGAGAAAATTTACAAGAGAAAAGAGAGATAGACTAGACAAGAGAGAGAGATACAAGAAAGGCGTTGTACCCTCTACAAGAAGATCCAGTGATTTGTAGGACACCTAACACTTACCAAGCCTACACAAATATATATGAACAATATATAAATTGACATCTTGGGCCTGCCCAGCTTGACAATGTAAGAGTGCCAAGGGAGTGGGCTGAAGGGCCTAAACCACTCGTTTGTGGTTTGGCGAGAGGAAGGGGAGTGTGCTGCAATTTGCCAGGTAGCCGTGGGCGGCAAGCTGACGCGCTTCGACTTCGGCATTTTAAGTGCCTTGTGATTCGGGGGACTGATGTTTGGATATTCCCCACCTCGGCGACCTCGTCGCATGCTGATGCCAGAGATTGTACATCTTCGCTTCGAGAGGCTCGGCTGTCGGATGAAGGCTCCACGGAGCTTCCGCATGCCGATTTTGGCTGAAACTCCATTGAAAATATCGCAGGCGAACGGCCCCACGGAGTGGATCATCTGTCTCGCACTGTACGCCTCATTGCACGAACAAGCCATTAAGGAGGTATGGAGAAGAATTCGGGAGGGAGTTGGAACTTGGATTGGAGTTGTCGGTGAATGACGTGTCCCGTTTTATCTAGCATGTGTGATAGCACAGCACGCTCAACAAACACTTTCCCCTAAATAAAGTCTATGTACAGGCATGGGCCATGTTCTCATGGCAATTGACTCTGTTCCTGGTGGCCCAAAGCGCAACATGCATAGTAACCTCCATTCTGAACTAGACCGCGGTAAAGACAACAACTAGCCCCGGAACATATTTACAGCGCCAGCTGTAGGCAGTGACAAAGAATATGATGACCAAAACCGTGTCACGTGTATGAAAGAAAGAGTGTTGCAAATCTATTCAAATTTATATTTGTGCCTTGAGAACAGATGAGCTCCTTCCCAAAAGGAGCGCGATACAAAGTGAATTTACTGATAGAAGTATTCCAAAGTCAAAACGGGCAAGAAATTCGTGATATAAAAAAAGTGTAACCCTTTCAGTCCCCTTCTTCACTTCGATTGTGAGTACAAAATTCTTGAGGGTACATTTTGCCGTACAGACATTTCTGTCCCATAACTCTACCCTTTTTATTATAAACTTGGTCACTCAGGAAAACCCACCCAACTGCACTAGGTTGCAATCGGGTCGAAATTTTGCCGGTGATTCACTCCCATGTGTGATTTTATCAGACTATTTTAGTTTGATTGTCTGAAATTTCATACCTTTTTTTTTTGCCAAACCTGATTTTTCAGACTTGCCAACTTCCGAACACAGAACCATTTAGAGTTACATAATTTTGAGTCCTAAGAATTCCACACTTTGCACTTAGCAGATACTGAGTTCTTAGTGCACATCGCGTACGGACCCTGAGACAGACATACTTGCACCTACTTGCTCTCAACGCAAATTTTTATGTACCCCCAGAGTCACTCACACATCCTGCAACCTATGAAATAGGCTAAGTCCTAGCAGCCAAAGACAGTCCCCCAACACACTCAGCAACCCATAAAATTCATTGAAGTCCTTTTCTAAAGACACCCCTCCTACCAACAACCCACGAAAATTGGCTAAGTCTTCCATTTCTAGAGACATTCTTCCCATACCCCTTTCACCTGAATTTTTCCGCCAAGGTTTGTCAGAGGCTGACACAATCCCCTCAACATCCAATCACACACTTACAAGGAACAGTCGCAGAAAGGCTCGCTGCCGATGTAGACAACTTTCGACGTGCTCTACAACGTCGGCATTGCGGCACGTCACAACAAGCTTGGCCTCGGCATTTTGCAGAACGCGAGCACCTCGGAATACGCGTACTAATACTCCGCAGATGAATGAATTTTATATGACAAAATGAACCTGCCCCCACGAAGTTTTTCACTGTCTCGTCTTCATGCTTGCACACTCGGGTGTGGAGAACTTGGTGGGGGTACTTGAACTTGGGGAATTGAATAGGAATCGGGGTCCCACCTTGAGCCACATCAGATTTCAAAAGGGGTACTGCGGGTACAGGCTCAGTCAATTTAGTCACTTGGGTGATTTCCTCAGTCATTTGGGTATTTTTTCGCCAGCTCGGACACAACGAGCTCTCTACCACTAGCACGCGTAAAGCTACCAAGTTGCGAGTGACCTCTGAAAAACGAGACTTCGACTTAGGCACGCGGACTCTGAATCGACATTCTGAACCCTGGATAATTCAGACCAGTCGACTTTTGGATACTGAGATTTCATAGTAGGTAATTTTTAAAAAAATGGCCCCTTTGACTCGGGAAAAAAAAAGGGGTAAAATCAGAGTGCCCTTTTTGAAAAAGTCAGCTCTGTTCATTCTAATATTCCCGATAGAGAATTGAGTGTGGCCCGAGAAAAAAACCTCACGAATAAATTTCCCCTCTAGGCTTGGTAAGCGTGCACAGACTCGGCATATCGCATGGGGATCGTCATGCAATTTTTGTTGTGCCGAACATGTTTCCTTCCAGCGTGCTCTAATTCATACTCAGTTGCTAGCGAATAGGGCCATGGTTTCTTTTCAATACGTAGGCTACAAATGGTCAGCACAATGCGCATCTCATTGGTGTTTTATTTTGCGTCAAACTTCTCTAGGGATCACGGTTATCATTTACTACAAGCCCGTTGATTATGCGCGATGAATCTTACAGTACAGTGTGTAGCGACGTCCCAGAGTGAAATAACATAGATTGTTTGCGATAACTTGTATAATAGACTTCATCGAGTGTACTCAACAAATGTAGACTCCATGGTAACCGTTACACCAACAAAATTTCAAGATATCCGAGAAACCTTGACGTAACATAATACACCGATCAGACACGTGTTGTGCTGAAAAATTGTGGCATTTTTTGAAAAAGACACACTATGCCTAGTAGGTTGAAGAATCGGGCTATTGTAGAATTCCCTCGACAATCCGTACCAGAGAAACACATGGAGTACAATCTTAAGCTGTGTATCATCAAAATTGGAGTATATAGAAAGGTGTATTGTTCTTGTGGACAGAATTGACATGCTTATAACACAGATCGGAAAACCGTACACTTCGCTTCGCATGCCAAGAAGACTTAGGGAATGTCCAGAGTGAAGTTCGACATCCAACGACATCCGTTGGGGGATGTCGAGGGATGTCGACCATCGATTCCTTCCGATCTATGGTCGACATCCCTCGATATCTCCCAACGGATGTCGTCGGATGTCGAAAGTCACTTTGGACACCCCCTTAGAGCCTATTTGAACAACTCCTATCTTCAAGCGTATCGTAAGAGTCTGTCTTTTGTATAATTTACAGGCCCAATACGGTGCCCCAGGGTTCGAAGCGGTGAAGCAGAAAACCCGTTTCTCAGCATGATGCACCGTACACCACCGCATAAAGGGTATGCCGGACGTAATCTTGGGACCATGGCTTATGCTATCAAGGTAAATTCTCTATCTTCACCTTTTTTTAAGGCTAAAATCTTTGAGTTCCAGGGTCCGATCAAACTTTTCTCGTGCTCGTTCAAGGTTGTTTAAGGCACCGCCTTTTCTGTACGGGTATTTTTAGGGGCCAACTGTAATTCTTTTAGAACCCACCCTTCCTCTTTCCACACCCACCCACCTGTTAGAATAGCATGGTGCTGGCATAGCGGAAACGATCAAAAGCTTCGAAAGAAAGCTTGTCATTCAAGAAATGAAATGGGCCTCACAAGCTAGGTGATTTATGCAAGAGCTTCTCCTCCCCAAGACC